CTAAATTTATTTCCAGTTGACGGCTATAATCATATTTAATCCCAATCGTCCAAACCTTATAGATAGTCATCTCATTAAGTAAGTATTTAGTAATTAAACTTAAATTAATCTCGGTTAATATTTATAAATGTATATTTAATTATGCCCAGAGTGGAACGACAGATTTATATGAACCTACTTCACCGCTATTTAATATTGAGATACCGATGCGATTGCGAATCAAAGTCCAAATTCTTGCGGATAATGAATGCGTTAATAGATTTACATAACGTTAAGGAGGCCCACAAACACAACTATTGGCGAAAGGACCCCAAACTGGTGTTACCGCTGCTCCGGGAGGTTTTTGACATGCACCCTCATGTCAATCACAACTATTTATAAATTCACTGATCATACTAAAAACTTTGGAAAAAGATTAACCTTAAATATAAAATATATGAGAAAAGTAATATGAAAAATGAATATTCTAAACGCTGCGATAATTTTTAATTCATAGTTTGAGGCTATAATAAAAAAGTCAATTAAATATAATAACTTATATGTACGGGACTATGCATTCAGTGGTCAATAATTATGAGATAATTTTGTGTCAAATGTTAGAATCGCGTCAAAGCCTTGGAAATTAATAGACACTACTGTCACGAGACCGACCCTAACCGCCCCTACAGTGTACTCAAACTACTGTAGATTCTATCAAATCTAGTTAAATGTGTATAAAAGTACAACTGCATATTAAATTTGAAGATCCGAAACTAGTTTTTATAACAAGTTAAGTTTAGTGATTTAGTAGTGGTAGTCGGATATACTGTATAGCAGTAGTGTTGCCTCACAGTCACTCATATAAAGAGGCAAACTTTAAAGAGGCAAAGATTACAAAGGGAAAGGTAGAGCTCATATAAGAGGCAAGGGTTATTGGTATAAATAACGTTTGGAGGGAAAGACAAATACAAATTTTTATTTTTACATTTTTATTACAAATAGGGTCAGACAAGATACAAGTCAATTTATATAATATTAAATAATTGATGTTTTTGTTAAATATCCAAATTGAATTACTTGTATAATCACTAACACTATTACATTAAAAATATCTGGCTTAGAAACAAGTGACCAATAGTGGTCAGTTGTGGTCTGTAGTGGTCAACATTTTAAAAATTAATTTAAATAGTGTATATAGTGAAAATAATTGTTTATAATGTTAAATATTGATATTAATGGACAGTATTGGCACTGGTCAGCAGTGGTCAGTTTTAATTATTTTCTATATCACATTTTTTATATTATTTGATTTATACATTCACAAACAGGCGTGATTTTAAATAAAAATTGATTTATGTGTTATTCTCCATAAGTTTATATGAAAGTATAACTAATATTACTAATAAGTTGACCAAGCTCTAACGCCTGTCTGTGAATGAATTATTCATTTAATGACTGCTAATTAGAATCTTACAATTTAATTTACAATATGTTTATCACTAATGTCCAATTCGTTAACTGGCCATCAAACACATATACTCTGCCATATAATTTGAATAAACTAATTATTTTATATTTTATTTATCATGTATTTTAACAAACCCTATATTTAGTTTGTAAAACATTGGGGAGCTACAAATGTTATGTATTTTTGAGACGGTATTTATGATAGACTACAGTCTGTGTCTATTATAAGTTTGCCTCTTTAAATGAGTGACTGTCAATATACTGTATGTGATTTACAAATGATAGTTTCGTATGAGTTTTATACGCAATCGCTTTGCAATGTTTCATTGCTATCACAACATTGATAGACATTAGTTGAAAATAAAGTCCATGATAGTTTATGTGTTTTAGTATTACAGTATTTTATGTGCTATGCCTTAAGAAAAGTACATTTAATTTGTACATAATATTGATTCTTACATGTATTATGGTGTGTAATTGTAATAATTCATTTAAATAATACACTGTATATATTAATTGTCATATTAATGCATATACAATATATTGGTGTGAAATGAATTAAATTGAACAACATATTTAATGGTTTACTAAACAGCAAAATAAAACTCATTTAAATACTCATAATTGAGCGTATGTTGAGAGTGCCCTGGAGACTATATTCATAAATAATTGAACAGTGCATTCATATTGAATATTATAAAAATCAAAAGTGGTTTCTCGCATACACTGTGCATATTCTGTGCCACAGTCTATATTTTTGTGAACAATTTTTTGTGAACATCTATTTCGAGAGATTATAAGAACTTTATTATATAACTGTTATCTACATGTTTACAAGTTATTTCATCTGGCAAAATATTTATTAATTGGTGTTCAGTGTACAAATAAATAGTTCAAGAATTGCGATCATATTTTGAGCCACATTTGCCACAAGTAGTACTGATTGTCATTAATTGTCACACAATGGGTAACAAGGATTTGGTTAAATTATGTGTCGTTTGTGGCGATCGAGCGACTGGTGAGTTGTGGTCATTGACCACCAATTTAACATTACATGTGATAATATCACTGAATTACTGGTATATCAATAAATAGATGGCCTAAAAATTATCTGATATCAAGTTTTAATCTTTAGGCCATTTGTTACTAGTATTTATTACTTATTAATTTAATAAAAGGTTACTTTTGGGGTGAATATATTTTTCGCATATTATCACTATTGTTAGAATTATAATAGTTTTTGTATAACAAGTTTTTTTCAATACAATTGTGTATTTAGGCTATAATTTCAACGCTGTCTGCTGTGAGTCGTGTAAAGCCTTCTTCAGGAGGAATGCCTCCAAATATGAGGTAATTATCTGAATATCATTCGTTAATAACATGATTTTCAAAGAGTATCTAACTAAATATCATAAATTGTTTGATCACTCAATTAATCCGATTGTCTCTCTGGAGGGATTCAAATGTCACTTCGAGAACAACTGCCGAATCGATTTGGTTTCGCGAAAGTTCTGCAAAAAGTGTCGAATGAAGAAGTGTTTCGACTTAGGCATGAAAAAGGTGTCCATTTAGTGATCACTTTAATTCGACGAAATCAATACACAAATCATGGAAATCGAGAAAATCATTGGAGAGGACGAAGGAGTGGACGACGAGTCGTCCGATGATATCGACGACTCGGTGTACGACCGGGCAGTGGAACTGGAGTTTACGCTACTGCCCATCGCCCGACCCGTCGCTAATACGTACAGTTTTAATGAGTTGGAGACCAATAAATTGGCTGAACTTTTCAACGCCACCTCCTTTTTCAAAGAGTCGGCGCCTACAGCCGTGGTCTCGCATATCGAGACTGAACAGCAATTAGGCCCAGTTATGAGCAAATTATTTGAGGCACAGTTTCACCGAGTGATCCAAATGTCCAAATCGATCACCACATTCAACAGTATTAATGAAAGTGACAAAATCACCCTGATTAAAGGCAGTGCACTAGACATGTTCAACATGCGTACAGTTCCCTATTATAGCCGCACTAATCAGACCTGGACAATTATACTGGTAAAATATTTGAAACTTTTATTGCTAACTACTTATTTGATATGAATTAATAATTTTGACCGCAGGATAGCGAGAGTACAGTTATGTTTGATTTGAAATTGATGAAAAAATTTCCGAAAGATGTGTACGTGTGGATTAAGAAATTTTTAAACAAAATTGACAAACAATGGGAAAAAGATATTATTGTTTTGGACCTGGTATGCAATCATTGTCTCATGTACATAAAGTGTATATTTATTAAATGTTATTTAATTTTATTATAGCTAACAGCGATAGTACTGTTTAATCCGGATCGACCCAATCTTGAACACAAAGAGTTTGTTAAGTAAGTTATAATAATTAAATATAATCAAGTAATGTTAAAATATTTTCAATACGGTAGTAGTAATTAAAATGTTTATATTTTTGTGTTCATAGGCTACAACAGAATACTTATATGTATTTACTTCAGCGCTATTTAGCCGTCAGATATCAGTCGCAAACTGAATCCACTTTGAAATTCTTGAAACTTTTAAATTGTCTCAAAGATTTGAAAGTTTTAAGTGAAAATTTAAGACTCAGTATGGAGAATAAGGACCCTGATCATGTGCCACCACTCATGAAGGAAATCTTAAATATAAATGAGAAAAAGTCGGACAATACATATGACGGATGTATGGGCGCTACCGTCACCACCAATAATATCATTGTTTTCTAAATCATTTTGAATATCATTACAATAAATACTTATTTTAATGAAAAACATATTTATTTGTGTCATAAATATATTAAGCATTATTCAATCATAACAGTAAAATTCTGGTTTTAAATAAATCATTGGTCTCTATAATTGTATTCAAGCATAAATATTTTTAAATATTTTTAAACGCTTATTAAAATACATGGTTTTATCTATTCAGCGAATTCATTAAATATATTTTATAATTTATAATTAATTATAAATTGCAATTAATTGATAAAATAAAAGGTCAAAATGTACCCCAATGATAAGACATGATAGACTAATATTTATAATAGATGAAATTAATTGGAATACGATAAATAAACAATAAACCTGGTACAATATAGGTACGGTTTGTAATGAGATTACGTAGTTGTAGTAACAATTAGTATAAAAGGAAAATATTTTTACCTTAATACATTAATTATTTATATTTTGAGAACTAATATGATATTTTAACTAAATATCCGAAATTAACATATTGATACTTTTAAGTAGTATTTTAAAATAATGAGTGACCAGGATGTTGTTAAAATCTGCGGTGTTTGTGGTGATAAAACAAATGGTATGAAATGAAAATATGCTAAGAAATTAATAATACAAAATAAATTTAACTAGGTAATTAAATTAAATTTGATGATTAGGTTATTATAACTTCAATGCAATTACTTGTGATTCTTGTAAAGCCTTTTTCAGGAGGAATGCCTTTAAAAGAGATGTAATGTATTTATATAATTGGAAATAAAACATGGATTTTTAAGACAATTAACAATTATAATGTTTTTATTATCAATCAGCAATTCAAATGTTATTTCGACAACAATTGCAAAATAGACTTTAAGACGCGGAAAGTATGCCGAAAATGTCGATTAAATAAATGCTTTTCAATAGGAATGAAACAAGTATTTAATTTTCTAATGTTTTACTTTTAATATAACTTATTACCGGTAATCAAATTGGTTTAAATGAATGGTTTTTAGGAGTGGATTCTCACTGAAGAGGAGAGAAAATGTAGAAAATATAAGATTACAGTTAATAGCCATAATAGACGCTATCATAAGACAAATAAAACTAAATCATTTGATCAGACAATCAGCTCTCCTATTGATTCATCTCTTAATAAAGATAACACTTCTTCGGCACTCATGTGTATTAATGATAATACAAATACCGTTAATTCAAATAGTAATGAAATGGTAGTCCCGTGTATACCACCCCTCATAACTGACTATAAGAATAATTTTAACGAATTAGAGGGCAATAGGATGACTGAATTATTGAGTGCCGCACACGTGATGAAGATCTGGCTGACCGACGCCCAGACATACCTCATTAAACACCCGGTTATCGAGGAGGCCTGTCGGGCGTGGGCTCTCATGTGTGTCCAAGAAGTGGATAAGTTGGTGAAGATGACCAAGAGTTTGGTGGCTTTCAATGGTATTTGCGATAACGATAGGATAGCACTCATTAAATATGGTTCCGTCGAGGTCTTCATTATGAGACTCATAATGCTATTTAATTTTGACTCCAATTCTTGGATTCTGGTTAATGTAATTGTAATTTTAAAAATAATTGTAAATTACATTTTATATTTAGCATAAAGTTTTGTTTTATATTTAGGGGCCAAAACATTCAGTAGTTTTGAAAATGGATTTATTAAAGGAGTGCAGAAAATCGCTGTTTGACGCCTACGATAGCTTTCTGAGACATATGGGCCCGGAATGGGATTCAGACCCTATTATTATTGATTTGGTATACGTCTAGTTTGTTAATCAATAATATTTCATGAATTAATTTAGTGATTCACCTAAATTTATTTCCAGTTGACGGCTATAATCATATTTAATCCCAATCGTCCAAACCTTATAGATAGTCATCTCATTAAGTAAGTATTTAGTAATTAAACTTAAATTAATCTCGGTTAATATTTATAA